AATATAAAGTCAATTCAGCGCAACTTGACAATGAAAATATGAGCATAATGTCACTTTAACCAAAGGGCCCTTATTTGAACAAATTTGGTAGAAACCCATTAGAAGATGTTTTATGCTAATATCTTAGCTCTAGCTGCTCTTTGGGGTTTTAAAATAAGATGTATTAAGTTATTACTATATTCATAAAGGGAAAATCAATGACCCCTGGGGCGGGACCAATTTACACCAAAGGGCCCTTATTTGAACAAACTTGGTAGACACCCATTAGACGATGTTTTATGCTAAATATCTTAGCTCTAGCTCTTTGGGTTTTTAAAATAAGATTTATTTAGTTTTTACTATATTCATAAAGGGAAAATCAATGACCCCTGGGGCGGGGCCAATTTTAACCAAAGGGCCCTTATTTGAACAAACTTGGTAGACACCTATTAGAAAATGGTTTATGCTAAATATCTTAGCTCTAGCTCTTTGGTTGTTTTAAATAAGATTTTTTAAGTTTTTACTATATACATAAAGGGAAAAACAATGATCCCCTGGTGCGGGGTCAATTTTTACCACATAGCTTTTATTAGAACAAACTTGGTTGACACTCACTTAAAGATCTTTCATGCTTTATATCTAAGCTCTAGCTATTTGGAGTTTTTAAAAGAAGATTTTTTTAAGTTTTTTCTTTTGGTTGCCATGGCAACCAGAGCCCTGCTAAGAATTAAAGTCTTTGAACAATTTTTAAAGTTGACTACCAAATGGAACATTACTGTGAAGTTTGGATGAAATTGGCTTAGTGGTTTATGAGGAGATGTCGTTTAAGGTAAAAGTTTATGGACGGAAGATGGACGGATGAAAATTGATCACAAAAGCTCACCATGTCACTTTGAGACAGGTGAGCTGAAAACAACAACAAAACAACAAATGCCTTCTTATATATTATGAAAAAATATGGTTTTGTGAAATTTAATCCTATGATTGCCTATTTAAATGAGTAATAATGTATCAAAAGTTCAATTTGCTAGCAATATAAGGTTATTCCAATATTCAATTAACATCCAAGTTGTATAATTTCAAAAAAAAAAAAAAAAAAAAAAAAAAAACAGAAAAAGAAAAAAAGCATGAATAAATAATTAAACAGACCACACATAGATAATGAGGTTAAGTCACTGTTATAACATTTCAACACGGGAACTTGAAACTGTCAATAATAGCAGTATAGTCAGATTTAAAAAAAAATCCCATCCTTATATAAAATAAGTGTTTTTTAATATCGAGACAGACAGGATATATTTTTTTAAAAATCAGACTTAACTGCTATTATTGACAGCATTTCAAGTCCCTGTTATTTCACAAAAGTAGGTATATAGGTTGCAATATATATGTAGTAAGAAATAATCATTTATATAGTACATGTAGCACAGATAATTGGTAAATTAAAATGTCATGTTAACATGTGACAAAATTTATGGTAACATCATTTTTTGAATAAGTTGAACAGCATAATACAATCAATTTTATCACTTGCATAGTAAGACAACAAAACTTTTATGTAGTTTTGAGATCAATAAGGCACTTCAACTGTATATCAACTATAATTCTTAAAGTGTGATGAATATCTAAATCAAAGAAAACAGCTAGCTATATTATAAATAATTGTGAATGCACTTTATTTTTAGATACAACTAGAATATTTGTTTATAGAGAAAAGTATCTAAACTTGATATATTTTCCCCTTAAAAGGTATAAAGCTACATAGTACAAAATGTTTTTTTTTTTATGATTTATCAAAGGTAAAATTATATTGTTTCCATAACATCATGGTTGATTCTCGAAAGAGTTGTAACATAGAATGCCTCTGATATTTAATACTTATGAACATTGTATGTGAACAGAATAAATGTTCTTTATCCTCTGTTTGCAATTGATTTCCTGTGCCATTCAATTTTAAGGCAATTTACTACCATATTTTTTTCATAAAAGGATTTTCGAAGTATTCTATTTCTATTTAAGAAATAAAATTCAAACAATAATTTTTGTAGCAGATAAATAGCTTTATACACTTTTATAGTAACTCCTAATTGTGACAGGCACTTTATCTAAGAAATAAGCTGCCATACTAACTTTATTACAAAATGAATCCAGGACATATTTCTAATTGGAAACCCTACTAGATTACATTAATGATTTTTTTCCATTGTGGAAAACTCCTTATAAATACAAGATTATTTCAATTGAGAATGTTTTTCATATTCTTTTATGTATCATTATAATAAAAAAAAATTAATAAAGTATTAGATGTTAGTATAGCTATTTAAACTGGGAGTTATATACATTGATTGCATAACAAAACACGTCCCTGAGAAACACCTCCATTAACCCTTACCATGCTAAATATCTTAAATGGACTTGTCCATTCTCAATCTGAACAAAACCATCAATTCCCCTTTTTACAGAAAATTTTAAGATATATGACTGAATAGCAAACAGTGCAAACCATAATGAGAGAGCACAGATGTAACAGTTGGTCATGGTCTGCAGTGTTGGCACATCTGTTGCTGCAAGTAAGGTTACAGTTTCATACTAATTTCACAAAAATATTGAAAATGTATTTAAAAGTAAAATATTGTCAAGTGAACATGCAATTTATACATTGCAAACGGTACTTACAATCCAAGTAAATTAATATAAAAAATGGGCCAAAATATGCAAAATTGGCCATTACAGCTTTAGTCACGAAGTAAAAACAATGGTGATAAATACTACAAAGTCAGTGTTTTATCACCCGTAACATGTAAATAACTTTTACTTAAATCTTAAATATTTTACTTCCCTTTAAATCTTTTTACATTCTTTTCAAGTTTTGTTTTCATGAAATATGTTGGCTCATCTGGAGGAATGCAGCTTAAACATATTTTTTGTCATGCTCATCCTAATTAGTATTCTTGAAAAACTAACCAGTTTGTACAAACATGTACCAATTTCTGCACAAATGACCAAGGACTACTAATCATCACAAGATTTAGACTCGATACTATCAACTGTCATGAATTGGAATACAATATAACTATATGAATCATGATAAGGATATAACAGTTTATTTCCATGAGTTTTTCAACCAGTAGTTTCAGATAATGTCAAACCAGATAAATAATCTGTGTCTACAATATTTTTTTAGAATTATTACCACCAAAATCTATTCATCTAAACTCAAAAAATGGTCATAGATACAATTTAGTAATAGATTTATTTTGTAAAGTCGATCAGTGCCTAAAAACATATTGATCGCTTCCTTTAGAAAACTTTAAATATATACATGAATCAAATGTCTTTATAACAAAAATATAATAAAAAACAAACTAAATAATAAATCTTAACTTAACATCATTAAAAACTTTTGTTCAAGTTTCCCAATGGCAAAAATACCTAATCTATGTAATAAGTAAACTATTGCGTGTGTTGCTTCTTGACAATAAGTACAGTATCAGTAATTAAGTATTTTGCATGGAACTCAAAAAACTACTTCGTTTACAATTTTCTAATTCTATAACAAATAATTTCATTTTAATGATATTGTCTTAAGTAAAAACATGTAACATGCTCTTAATCATAATACAACTACAAATGTTTGCCATTTCTAAAGCAAAATGTACCTCTAACAATTTTTACAAGAAGTACTAAAATATTAACTTTCAATCAAAATGCTTTATTTGTCAACTCTAATATCATGGGAGGCCATTCAAACTATTAAGTCAAATGAATAAAAGTTCTGATGTAACTCAAAACATTTACACAGTTTACAAAGTGTCTAATACAGAGTAGATTTCTCCTGCATCCATCTATTCACAACATGATTTCATTTTTCATTAAACAAAAAAATGAAAAATATGATTTTCAAAATAATGTATATGACTATTATTGAACAATAATTGTCTAGTGTGCCATTAAATATGATGTGCTATTCCCGGCAGATGACATATTGACTGGGGCGATAGCCTAGGTCAATTTGACCTTCTGTCGGTGAATATCGCATCATAGTCAATGACTCACTAGTCAGTAATTGTTTAATTATATGAATCGGCTATTAATATTTTTAAAACCACAAAGAGTACAACCTTTTATATGTACAACTTTGGCATTGTTCCGTTAAAGCGCAGAAAAAAAGACGCACGTGTCAGGCGTGCAATATCTACGTTACATTCAAAAGTAATTCAAGTTTATACTCATCATTGCCGTTTAACCTTTAACTATAATACCTTAATCAAGAAATATGCCAAAAAGAACTGAATGCAACAGTTATCTTTTAATAAGCACGGGTAAGTAACAGTCTATGCTATATTGTCATTGAATAGGGGTCTCATCTATTTTTAGACAAGGAAAATCCAATTCAGCCAGTGAATATGAGTTCTATGGACCAATAAGATTGCAGCTATTTTTAGATTATCTAATAAAGAAGCCTACCTAAGGATATCTGAAAAATTTGGAAATTTAAATAAAAGTAAAAAAAAATGAAGTGAATAAAGTAAGTAGTTCACACATTGCAAATTGTTGTTGCAAGCCAAATTAATTACAAAAGGCCAAAATATGCATAATAACTCCTAACAGCATAACTCAAACAATGGTGATAAATACTGCAAACTCAAAAATGGTGATAAATACTGCAAACTCAGTCATTTATTGCACATAACACAAATTATAACTCGATTTATTTTTATTTTTCATAAAAGCTTAGCACATTTCTTTCAACTTGCCTTTAAAAAAAAGTTTGGCTCAACCCTTAATACTTTATTTTAAATGATTTACAGATTCCATGATAAAATTAGTTTTTACAATTGCCATAGAAATAAAATTACAACATTATTAATGCCTTTATATATACAATACATATTCTTTTACAATTTAAGTAGGTACTACCAACCTTCTGCAAGGTGAATAGCTTTATAACATGATAATATGTAAATAAAAATAATAGTTTTGTGGCATTCTAGAAACATAACAAGAGCCACCGCTTTTATTTTTATCCGAACAAAATAGGAAGACACTCACTAGAAGATGTTTCAAATTCTTGCTCTTTGGGTCTTTAAAAGAAGATTTGTTAAGTTTTTCTTCTTTCGGTTCTGCATGGAATTAAATTTCTAGCAAATTAAAAATTGACAATATTCAAAGGTTAACTTTAATTTTCTAAACAGGTTTTAATATAATAAAAATTAAAGATATAATATACAAAATACACATGTACATGCTACATACAAATCTTCAACTACAGCGAGCAAAATGACAGTTTGAACCGGCTCCTTTAAACCAAGTTTGAAAGATTAATATTTATTTGCTATTGTTCTTCGGGGATCTCACTTTTTCAAATTGCCAATTCTTTATCTAAGTGTTATATTGTTTTCCATTACTTTGTTAAATTAAACTGTCTCCAATATTGGCTGAATACAATTAAAGCTGGTGCGGTATGAATTATTGTTCCACCTTCATTATTTTATTATTTGATGTTTTTCTTGTTTCATTTACCTAAAGGTATCACTCTTAAGTAGTCCGTCTAATTAGACTTGTCAAAGAGACACCGAGATAATTTTGGAAGGGCGCTGTCTTTTTTCCAAGTCCAACCACGAACTGCATTTTTATGCACTAGAAGTTGTTGGAAGCGAAAACTAGAAAAGTTTTTAAGAAACAGCCTAAATTATCTGAAAGAGGACCGTTTTTTATTTAAGGTTCCATATTATCATACTTCAAAGTCAAACAGAAGTCTAAATATTCCACTTTATTTTTTTAAATCGTTGAAAATTATTGAAAGCGGCCATATTGGAAGCGGTGTCATGGAAAAATTGTGACATTTCATGGTGTAACACAGGTATCGGTGGCAATCGATTGTATAAGCAAGCCTTATAATACAATGTTATTGGTGTGAATTATTGCAGGAATAACTCTTATATTCACACACGAATATTTCAACATTAAAAATAAAATGTAAAAATGAAATTCTGATAACCTTACTTAGAAATTAAATAGTTTATGATGTCCGACGTCAGATCATACTGCATTTAAGTCTGTTTAAATAAAATTGTCAAATTAGAAATTATACAGTAGGGTTTTTAAACATATGTGATCATTAGGTGAAATTTCTGAACTGCCTTTGATTCCCCACATACGAAAATACAATGTAATTGTAGGTACATCTAAATGAATTATATTATAAATAGTCTATATATGATGAAGCAAAGAAGAATTTCAATTTGTATTACACTGACTCCATATCAATTTCTAGTTTATTGTCTTAAAAACAATATTGAGGACAGTTGCGTAGGAGAAGAAGTTCAAAGCAACCAAAAATAACTTAAAACATTTGAAAAAAACCCTTAAAATTTCACACTATAAAATGAAATTTCAGACTGGTCTTTTCTCAAGTTATTTTAAGGCATACCGCATGCTTGGTTTTCAACCCTTTTACAGTTGGACGCTACGCTTTCCTCTTTTGATTACATCTGACGGACCAAGTGGGAGACTCTATGATGGACAGTTCTTAAAACCCTTTGGGGACTGAATTGTCTTAATGTTCGTCTTCTGCCTTGCTTCGTTGGGCCCTTGTAGGTGATTTTCTTGTTGCTCTGCCTGCCTTTAAGGTATCGAGTACTTTGGTAATGGTCATTAGGCAGTTACTTTTTCTACATATTTACATAATTTTGTATGTGTTTTATTTATTTCGTCTAATGTAACCATGGCCATTGTTAGAATTTCACTTGGCGGGGATTAATATTATATACATTTTCATGTCATTCAGGAACATATTGGGGCTAAGAGTGAGGTTTGGCGCGCCTAAAACCGGTTTAAACTTCCCTGTGGTTTAACTACCACTGACCATTCCAAGGCGGTACCCCTTTGTGTTCCTCAACGTGTTTTTCTTGTCTGTATTGTTACTTGTTTTTGGATGTTTACATGTTTTGTGATGTCTGTCTTGTTGGAAGATATTTTCTCTCCCCCCTTCCATTTTTACCCCCCCCCCACCTTTTCACATGTACAGCCATTTTCCCTTTAATTCCCTTGTGGGCCTGTTTTTGTTTATATTATTTCACATTACATGTCCCACTCCTTTCGCCCTTGTGTTCACTCCAGATACTTGTTTGGTGCCTTCTGGCTGTCCTGCTTGGGTGTGTCCAGGGGCGGCGGCCTGTGAACGTTGCCTTTGCCTTGTTGATCTTTATTCTTGTTATTTAAAGAAATTACAGCTCTCAGTAAAATGCAATTGTCACACAGATATGACGGGGTTTATGATAAAAACGCAGCAAGTGGGAATTAAGTAACCGTAATTTAGACGTAGAATAACATAACAATGTAAGACAGATAGTCTGTTTAAATTACTGTAGTCGTCTGTTAGAACGACTGTCACAAAATTCCATGTTATCTAGTGCCAGCTTTTCATTGAACGGCATCTCGAATGTGTCACATTGAAAGTTCCATGATTACCTCCGTATTTTGTACACATCTGTGGGTGTTGATTCAAAATTTCAACATTATTATGTTTAAGTGATGTTTAAACCGACGCAATGGAGCATTTGCACCTACCAGAGCCGTCTTTGGCACTTATGTGTAATTATGTTTCGGTTTTGCAGTTTAAGGCGTTTTTTGTGGGGGTTTAAGACGGGGAGATGGTGGGATAAGTTTTTTTTCTATACTCTTTACATTTCTTTGCTTGCTTGCCGAACCTTGTAATAATAATCATTATGTGTTTGATACGGTTCGGTATACATGTATAAAACATGTTAAACAAGATGAACAAGGAAGGGTGACGTTCAATGAATGCAACCCCAACACGACCCACGAACAAGAACCATTGGCAAGGAGCCCAGGAGGATCCTAAACAAAAACAAGACAGGGCGCAAGGGAGAGCACGGTCAGGCTTTTTACTAAAATGATACATATGAAGAAATAATGGTAACTGACAAGGAAATCAAAATCAAAGAAAATAAACAAATGAATGATTAATAGGGCCTCTAAGTAAACTAAACGAGCAAATGGGAAGGGGATAGGAAATTCAAGAAAGGGGGAGGGGGCGAAATAAAGAAATAAAACTAGGGGCAAAGGGAAGACACTTACCATAGACGAGAAAACAAGGGACACAAACAAAAGTGTCACCAAAACAGTATAAAACAACAAGACATACACCTTAAACATGTACAAGTCTCTTAATCTGTTCATTTGAAAATTCTTATCTTCTCAATGACATTTTTTTTTAATATCCTCTATTTAAAATCTATTTCAATTAAAATATGTGACCCTTCCCTTATAGTTACACAGCATATGGCTGGATCACAATAAAGTTCCTTTTTAGTAAATTAATAAAGTATGTCAAGAAGACATTAATCTTCATCAGTAGGTTTAATATGGTATTATTTATCGGCAATCTGTGAAAAAGAACTCTTGAAATATTATTTGTACAAATACTGAATAATTTGATGTGCATTCAAAAAGTTCCCATCAATATTTCTTTTACGTTCTTAATTGTCATATAAATGTATAAATGAAGTCAGTATTGTATGCTAGAGTGACATTGGCAGTCATTAGCAGTTAACAAAAAGGCAAACCACCTATTGATAAATGTTGAGCACATGTATTAAAACATTAAAAAAAAATTAAACAACAGTACTTGTAAGGAGCCTATTGACTACCATTGCATTTTATGTTAAACACATTGGTATTTTTTCATTAGTATTTAATAATTAACTAATTTATTACAAAATAATGAATATATTTATTTCCCCTATATTTTTTGAAAGTTAATCTTCCTGCGTTATCCACACTTACCGGCTAGTCACACTGGTAGGTACTACCGCTAAAGATAGGTAGACTGTACAAATTTGAAATAAATCGCATGTATGCGTTAAGACAGGTGCAATCTAATATTTTTTCTAGGAGAAGTGAGTTAAAAGAATTTATATTCTATTGATTTTTAGGGGACATTGAAGTTACTTTCATGTTTAAGCAGTAAAAATCAGTCCAAACTATTGATAGTGTTGCCGGTAGATTTTCCGTGCGTAAAATGACAGTTAAAATTAGGCGTAACGGTTTGACAGTAAGAAAAAAAGTCTGTAAATGGGTCAAAACGTTCACGCCGAATTAATTAGGCTAACTCTTAAGTTACACTAGTACTATCTCTGTAGGTGTAACCCCACCAGCAACTTTGACTTTTTGAAAAATTAAAGACGTAGTCTAAAGAAATGACTGTTCTAACTCAACCTATTGTAAATAAGGTATCAACTGTGAACAAAGAACTACTGCAATAAATTGTAATCCAAACCAGGATCTTAATATAATCATGCTGTACAGTTAGTTTAAAAACAGTATTTCATACCTAAATGAAAACCATTTTTCTATTTTTAGTGACGGTGACATTGACTATATCCCCAGGGATCCAAATGCAAATCCAATTAGGGTATTAACATAAGTTTGCTTTACACCAAGTTTGATACAATGGCTTCTTTCGTACTCTAGTTTTTGTCCATTTTTTTTCTATTTTAAGTAACAGCTAGTGATAATGACCTTGACCCCAGGGTGTCCAAATGCAATACCAACCGGGGTCTTCAGATCAACTTACTATACACTAAGTTTGATTACAAAATTTTATTATTTACTCTAGTTATTGTCCGGAAACGATTTTACTATTTTTAGTAACGGTGATTTTGATCTCGACCCAAAGGATCCGAATGCAGTACTCACAGAGGTATCTACATAAGGTTTTTATATACCAAGTTTGATTACAATACCACATTCCAAACCCTTGTTATCGTTTGGTAACCATGAAGTGGACCGACCGACCAACCGGTAGACAAAATGAATCCTATATTCCCCCACTCGAAACATTCATCTGACGTGTGGATGACTCTGAGTCAATATAATTCTTTCAAGCACATATGATTATATGGAACAGATCAAGATTCGTTTCAATCATTGTTTCTATAAGCAAATTAAATCTCTTTAGATATATGTTGTGGGGATGAAAAAATATGTTAATAAGTGTTTCTAAAAATAGAAGTAAGCCTCTATCCAACTTGGCACCAGTGCTGTGGTGTTGAAAATTAAAAGCCTTATGTTTTCTATTAATAGAATGTAGTTACTTATTACATAATGTTCTAAGTTTGCTGAGGAGTACTCTTTAATAGGGAAAAATCTAATCGTCAGGATGACACCACCCTTTGAATGCAAAGGGAAATAAAACATAATTTGAATAAATTCAAATCAACCAAATTTTTAATGAACTAAGTTTCTATTTATACTAATCTAAAAGTTACTTAAAACTGAACAAGTTGACAATAAGTACTGTTATATAAACTGTTTGTAATTAACCATAAATATGATAATCAAAATAAACTAGTGAATGAAAGATTTAAACCAGATGAAAGTTGTTTATACTGTTATAAATAAAAATATGAAAAATAACCTTAATGATTCTGTGCTGTTAAACTAATAAATCTGAATAGTAGCAAGCCATGTTTTAATCTATATGAACAAAAATGAAGATCTAATAATTCAAGATGGCTGCCACTAAAACAAAGAAAAGATATTATTTAATCTTAATTAATTCTGTCAAAAATAATTACTTAAATTACTTACAAGTTTATCAAAATGTTTTAGATAATTTAGATAATCTCTAAGGTTCATTTAAATGCCAAAGTGCCCAAAATAAATTATTTAATTGAATCATTGACCTTAGAGAGCTTTTAGAGATGTTACTTTTCCAAAAATTAGCAGCAGAATGACAAAATTGTGTAAAAGTGCCTGTATTTATGCACACTACTGGGAACCAGAACTTTGTGTGGAACCAGTAAAATGCAGTCCTGCTCTGATTGGTCAATGAATTTAGCCAATTAGAGCTCATTAGGGCTTTACAAAACTATCCTACAATAGATTATGATTCATGGAAAATTTTGCAACATTATCAATTGACCATGATTATAAAAATAATAAAGTTTTGCAAAATATTTGTAACCATAAAACTCGTTACTAATATCAAACTAAACATATTTACAAATATATATAAATCTTTTTTCACTATTGTGGGATATGATATTTAAGCGCGATAAAAGATATGAAGTTCATGATGGCACAACCACCTTAAATGTTCATTGCACCCAATGTATTTGCACTATGATTATTTAAATGTTGCGCGATATCATTATTTTGTCTCTCAGATGCACGATTTGGTATTTGTTTCTCAGATGCGTGTTTAATTATATTTACTCAGATGCACGATCTATGGATTTTTTTAACATTGTGCGTTATTCATTTTACTTTTATCAACACTTTACACTTTTCTTCATCACTATTCATATATTACTTTATGTTAGTTTTCTTTATCACTTTTTATTTTTATACGGAACACTTTCTAGAAAAGAACATCACCTTTTAATAGAATCAATAATAGATTTTAACTTTAAATTTGTATTCTGCCAAAAGTTTTCATAAAGAATCAGTTACACCACCATGTTAATATACAATCATAAGAAATATAGCTAAGACAGATGATTAACAATACTGTATCATTAATAAAGTAGCATCAAAATGGTTAACAATTATACCATATGTAAAACAGATATCTCTTAACAACAAAAATATATGATATCCAACTTAAACCTCGTTAGTCTAATGACATGTAAAAATACATATTAACTCTTAAGTAAATCAAAGTTTCACACCACTGTAAAAACACAAAAAGCATATATGTTAGACCTAGCTGCGATGGAGCTATGCACATATATGGTAAACAAACGCTTACTTTAGGATCATTACTTAAGTGAACAAAGAAATGTCTGTGAAACATATCACCAGACGCCTATAGATCTTAAATCCTATAGAAAATCTCTAAAACTCAAAAATTTGATGTTTCAAAACATTAAGCCCATAGAAACTTAAATTCTATGTAACGAGCACAAAAAACATTCACTAAGACACCTAAAGCAGCCTTATAAAACTCAAACAGAAAAACTTGTACTTAACAAAAGTTAACAAATAATCATACAATATCAATTATGGTAACAAAAATCCAACTGAACATATCAATATCTTATATGTATACAAAAGTCTTTTTCTCAACATAAAAAAACAGCATGGTACGGTATGGCAGTTAAACTTAACTTAAATTACTGTCTTATCAATTTAAAATGAATTGAAAAAGGAAACTTAATAAAAAGTGGCATCTTTTCTATAACCCTAAATGTTTTTATACTTGTTTTGAATAATATTTGTCAGTCTTTGAACAAACTCGGGTTTGCTCAGTTTAACGCAGTCGCGATTTGAATAGTTACCGATTTCTTCTCTTGTCTCGGATACACGCAAGCATCTGGTCTGTGGTATTGGTCATCTTATTGGTATTTGGCATCTTCTTGTGGTGTATGGTCTTCGCCGGGTTTTGTTTTGTCAACTTCTTGTGGTCTGGTAATGGTATTGGCGTCATCGTTATTGCCTATTGGTATTTTATCATTTATGACTATTGAAAGGTTATCGTAAACAGTAGCCATGCAGACTGTCCAATCGAAGATTGCAACATTTGGTCTGCTGTTTTCATCCGTTATTTCGTTATCTGTAATTTCTTCAGGATTAAAGGGTTGTCGTTTGGTTTTCATTGGCATCGGTCTTTGATCTTTTGTTGAAGTGAAGGGAATATTGTGACTGAATACTCTGTCCTTGGTTCCAACTTTATTGTTAGTATTTGTCTTTTGAATAGGTATGTAATCGATGAACATCACTTCTTTTACTCTGCTCGATGCCGTTGGTGGTCTGTCTTCTGGTTCGTCTTCGGCCATTTTGTTGTAGTTTTTATTTACTGTGTGGACTGACTCTTGGTCTGCCGAATCAGTCCCTTGAAGTTTAAATGATTCTGTAGTCGGTTGTCTTCTATGACTTTGTTGTCAGGTTCTAGATAAGTCTGACTTCTGGAAGTGAGGCTGCAGTCTTCTTGATTATTTGCAGAGCAATTTGTGTTATGCTGGTGATTATCTTGGTAGTTGTCATCACCCCATTTGGATATGTCTTTCATCAGTGATTGCTTGAATTCATCTGCGAATTGTAAAAACTCTTCTTCTGTTATAAATTTGTTTGAATTTATGCGCCTTGATTGATGGTGGTATATGTCTTCAGGTTCTCGCCAGTAGTTTTGATGTCTTCTGGTGTATACTTCTTGATGTTGGTCCTGCGAATGTCTACTTGGCATATGACATAAAGCCAATCTGTTTAATTTGGATGTGTTGACTGGTGAAGAAAAACGTGGATAGTCATTTTCTCTGGTTCTGCTTTGTGATTGGAGTTTTTGTAGTCGTTTTTCTAACAATTTGACTTGTTCTCGAAGATGGAGGACTTCTCTGACTGTGTCATTGTGATGTGAAGAAGGTGGCGGCTGTTGTCTGAATGTTGCATAATGGTCATCACGGTAGTAGTTGTATCTCTGGTATGAAGTTGCGAATTGTAGTGGAGGATAACAATCGTAGAAGTAAACATCTTCTTCTGACGTGTTGATGCCAATATTGGTTTGTAGTGTTCTGGATAGCAGTTCGATTTCAGTGTTGTGTTTGAGTGTTAGCAGCTGGTCATGTTTGACATTACGCTTTCTGTGACTATTTGACGAGGTTTGACAATATGAAGGTCTTTTTTCTTATCATTTAGAAGCCAATATGCAGACATATTTTGATATTCTTTTATTTCGGAGCCAATATGTAGACAAATTCTGATATTCTTTTATTTCGGAGGCAATGTACGGACAAAAAGTGGTTTGCCAATTTAAGTGCCTTTTAAAATGAAAATTTTAGAATAAATATTAAAATACAGACCATAAGTTTTTCTGATTATACACACCATATCGCCTAAAATGTGTGTTTGTGAAATAGGCACTGTCGGACGCTTAAAATAAAGTTAAAATTAGTTTTTCTATGACTATGTACTTCATAAATCAATAACTTTGGTTGCTATTGATCTCTGTACTTGTGATTTATATTTCTGGGTAGGGGAATCTTAGGGAATTGGCCTTTATATGAAATTAAAGAGGTAAAATAGGCCTGGCTGGAAGATAGAAAAGAACTTTACAACTCTAGGATCATATGTGACACGCTTGTGCTTCTAGATGCCAGAACAGTATAGCAAGAAATATATAATCTCCTATTATTGTATTACAAATAGAACGATTACCCCATATAACATCCAGCTTGCCGGACTGCCTTTACTGTATAGCCGGAAGGATGTCAATGTATTTACCGTCCTACCTTACTGATAATTATTGACTTTACTTTATTGCTATTATTTGACTTTGTATTCAAAAATTTACTTTGACAAAAATCCTTATTTTCAAAAATACAAAATATTACCTATTAAAAATAATGTACTCCTAAGTTGATAAAATTTACTTATTTTCAAAACTATCAATGCAAAAATTTACTTAAAAAATACTGTACTCCTGAGTAGAGAAAATTTTCTTATTTTCAAAACTATCCATGCAAAAATTTACTTTAAAAATACTGTATTCCTGAGTTGAGAAAATTTACTTATTTTCAAAACTATCAAAAATTTACCTATAAAAATAATGTACTCTTGAGTTGAGAAAATTTACTTATTTTCAAAACAATCCCGATTCTGACACCATTGTTGTGGTGATGAAAAAATATGTTAATAAGTGTTTCTAAAACTAGGAGTAGACCTCTATCCCACTTGGCACCAGTGCTGTGGTGTTGAAAATTAAAAGCCTTATGTTTTCTATTAATAGAATATAGTTACTTATTACCTAATGTTCTTAGTTTGCTCAGGAGTACTCTTTAATAGGGAAAAATCTAATCGCCAGGATGACACCACCCTTTGAATGCAAAGGGAAATAAAACATAATTTGAATAAATTCAAATCAACCAAATTTTTAATGAACTAAGTTTTTATTTATACTAAACTAAAAGTTACTTTAAACTGAACAAGTTGACAATAAGTACTGTAATATAAACTGTTTGTAATTAACCAAAAATATGATAATCAAAATAAACTAGTGAATGAAAGATTTAAACCAGTTGAAAGTTGTTTATACTGTTATAAATAAAAATATGTAAAATAACCTTAATGATTCTGTGCTGTTAAACTAATAAATCTGAATAGTAGCAAGCCATGTTTTAATCTATATGAACAAAAATGAAGATCTAATAATTCAAGATGGCTGCCACAAAGAAAAGATATTAATTAATCTTAATTAATTCTGTCAAAATAATTACTTAAATTACTTACAAGTTTATCAAAAATGTTTTAGTGAATTTAGATAATCTCTAAGATTCATTTAAATGCCAAAGTGCTCAAATAAATTATTTAATTAATTAATTGACCTTAGAGAGCTTTTAGAGATGTTACTTTTCCAAAAATTAGCAGCAGAATGACAAAATTGTATTAAAGTGCCTGTATTTATGCACACTACTGGGAACCAGAACTTTGTGTGGAACCAGTAAAATGCAGAGCTGCTCTGATTGGTCAATGAATTTTAGCCAATCAGAGCTCATTAGGGCTTTACAAAACTATCCTAAAAATAGATTATGATTCATGGAAAATTTTGCAACAGTATCAATTGATCATGATTATAAAAATAATAAAGTTTTGCAAAATATTTGTAACCATAAAACTAGTAACTAATATCAAACTAAACATTTAACAAATATATATAAATCATGTAAATGCTAAATCAGTAACTTGTAACTCACTCAGTTTAAAGGCCAGTGTGAGTGAAAGTAGAACCTTTCTCTATATATTGTATGTAAAAAGTCGTTACTGTTAAAGAATGCATCAATGAGTTCTACAAACTATAATCAACATTAAACTAATGAATGATAAGAATGAAATGTCTATAAAACAAAACATATTCAATATGATTAAACTTAAACCTAAGTTAAAGTTTAAACCCTTAATATTTCTTGAAAAATATGTATGAAGATTATATATGATTTACTTCTTGAGTAATATTATACAATATTATTTAATGATTACATAACCTGTTGTAGTTGGAATCCAACTTTACAACATATACACCAAAATAGAAACACTACAAACAAAAACAAGAGATGTTGTAAAATTGCATGCCCTGCTTATAAGCACATCAGAAGTTGCATGCAATGTTCCTCGGAATCCGTTTCGGCATACAAAGTTACTGTTACTGGTTTTAACCCCAAAAGCAACAGGGGCCATCTACTGGCCTATAATGTTTGAGGGACCAGGCTCATCGTTTGTTCAGTTATCAGGAAACTGTTTGGACATACAATGTCAATGCAACCCTGTGGTCCCACAATCAAAATAATCACCTTGTAGTAAAGAATAATGCAACTGGAAAGCTTTAGGGCCAAAAGCTCATTAGTTGTCAAGTAACAGGTTAGAAACCGTTTTGACATACAATGTAAATGTGACCTTGACCTTTGACTCAATAATCAATAAGTTATATCTCATGGTATAAATCAACCTATGAAGGTTAAGAGTTTATTTATTTTCAAGTTATTGATAGAAAACAGTGTGGGACGAAACGACCAATCGACAGACCAACATCCTACTGTAAAACAATATTTCCCTTTTTTCAAAGAGGGACTTTTAAAAAACTGGATTTGCTATTTAGTTGAGAGTTAAAAGTAACATCAAGTCGTTGTCTTTGGACCCAAGCAAGCATAACCTTGTCTATGGTGTCACAAACTTGATTTTGGAGCAGTTGTCCATCTTTCCTAAATGTATCTCTTCGTATACAAACTTCATCAGTTTCTTCTGAAATAGAGGAACAATAAAATAAACAGTATAAATAACCTGCAAATATAACAGCATTAAGTGATACTAATGATTGGATCTTAAGATATTGGAAAATAAGTTAAACATTTCTTTTGTTATTTACACTATCATCCTATGGATTTAAGTAGACACTTTACTATTCCTGTCAAGAATAAGGCTTATAGAACAACTTGAAGTTAATACACATGTATGCCGTCTTATGATCTTTTACAAAGCTTCTGCCTGTGTTTTGAATAATGTTATGCTTTTTATTCTTACAAATTTGAAAAGGTGTGAGCAGTATTTCTTTTCACCATGTATTGAAACTCTGAAAGTTCATTTAATGAAATATGTCATTTAACAAAACAAAGCAGCCTGATGGACAGCTTAATCCCCATCCACAGCAGGCATGAATATGTATTTCTTGACATTCATCTGGTTATACATGTTTTTTATTTTCTATATGTCTACACATGTTTGCTACTGAGCTTTTCAGTGTGCTTGATGTCGTCTAAATGGGTTTATATATCTACTTTTATCAGCTGTAGTTATCATGGAAACTGGATAAATAATGAAAAATGTATTAGGGTTCCTTTATAAAAAGTCTTATCTTAATATTTTTTCATTTTCTTATAATTGTCGTGGTTTGAATGATAGCATAAAAAGGCGTGATGTTTTCAATATATTAAATAAAAAAAAAGATATATTTTGTCTACCAAAAAACGCATTTCGTTAAAGAAGTTGAAAAAAATTCAACTTGAATGGAATGGATTTTTTCAGCCATGTAAAATCTAATGCTAATGGTGTTGCAGTTTTATTCAGAAAAAAATCAAATATCAAAATCAAGTCAATTAACACAACACTGTGAAATTTGGAAGTTTAATTATTTTACAAATGCTTTTTGAAACTAGATACTTAATGTTACTCGTATATGCTCCAAATACTGACAGTCCAAGTTTTTAAAAAAGTATTTTTGATACTGTAATTTCCCTTTGGTGGCAATAATTCACTCATAATTTGTAGAGATTATAACCTGGTTCAAGACCCAGATCTTGATTATCATAATTATAAATCTGAAACTAATAATATCAAAGCAAGAAATTTTTTATTTTATATTATTAAAGATAAAGATCTTGTTGATCCTTTTAGAGAATAACATTGAGAAATTAAAAAAAATATATGGAGGTGTACAAATCCTATACAAGAAGGGAGATTAAATTGTTTTCTTTTATCAAATGATTTGTATCACTGTGCAAGAAAATGTGATATTGATGTGAGTTAAAGATCAGATCATTCAATAGTATTTTTAGATATTTGTTTATCTCACATTTGTCATTGTAAGGGTTAGTGGAAATTTAATAATGTTTTGTTACATGATTTTGAATATTTAAATATAATAAATAAACAAGAGGGCCATGATGACCCTGAAACCGCTCACCCGTATAAAGGCCCATAGGCCAGGGCAAATTTTAAACCAGGGTCTTTTTAATACAACATTTTGTTAACACTCATAAAGATGATTCATGAAAAATAATTAAGCTCTAGCCCTTTTTGGTTTTTATAAGGAAAGTTTTTATTATATACATACATTGAAAAACAACGAACCCCTCTCCCCTCGGAGGGGCCAATTTTGATCCAAGGGCTTTTATTTGAACAAACTTGGTAGACACCTTTTATAAGATATTTAATGCTTAGTATCTAAACTCTAGCTCTATGGGTTTTTTACTAGAACATTTTTTTAAGTTTTTACTATACACATAAAGGGAAGTAATGACCCCCTGAGGCAGGAGGCAGGGCCAATTTCTACTCCAGGGCTTTTATATGAACAAACTTGGTAGACACACACTAGAAGATGTTTCCTACTTAATATCTAAGCTCTAGCTATTGTGGTTTTTAAAAAGAGGATTTCTTAAATTTTTACAATAGACATAAAGGGAAATCAATGAACTTCTGGGGGAAGGCCAATTTTTACCCTAGGGCTTTTATTTGAACAAACTTGGTACACATCCACTAGACGACGTTTCATACTTAATATCTAAGATCTAGCTATTTTGGATTTTTAAAAGAGGATTTTTTAAGTTTTTACTATATACAAAAACCAAAAACCCCAGGGCATTTATTTGAACTAACTTGGTAGACACTGACTAAATCATGTTTCCTGTCAAATATTTAAGCTATAGCTGTCTCGGTTTTCTAAAAGAAAATATTTTAAGATTTTTCTTTTGGTTGCCATGGCAACCAGAGTTCTGCATGGAATTTACTTTTTTTTGAACAAATTTTCAAGTTGACTACCAAAGAAACATTGTTGTGAAGTTTGGATGAAATTGTCTTTGCAGTTTATGAGGAGAAAGTAAAAGTTTACGGACGGACGGACCCTGGACGAAAAGCAATCACAAAACCTCACCATGTCACTTTGTGACAGATGAGCTGAAAAATTGTTGACATAAAACTACAAAATTGTATACCAGTATATAATATAGACTATATAGTATACATAACAAACAAAGACATTAAATGAACTATTTTTAGAAACACATTTGATGGAAATAAGAGGTAAAACTATTTAATACAGCTCCTTTAAGGTTAAAGAGAAAAAATATATGAAAAACAAATAATTGAGAAATATCCTTTAAAGAACAAATTTTGACAATTGGTAATGAAGACAGACTTATTTATTTACAAAACGAATTCTTTTACGTCATACACTACTCTTGTGCACATATGAGATGCGTGCCAACCGTGACCGTGATTATTCAGTGCGCTTTAAAATTTCGTCTTGTGCAGACGAACCTTTTATCTACAGGTGCTGTAGAAGTATCTACAGTCTCTAAGCCTGACCAAGCGTCACTTAGGCCTAGGAACTTCAAACTTAGTATGGTGATTGTTCATGACCAGCAGATGACCCCTATTGATTTTGGGGTCAAGGGATCAAAGGTCAAGGTCACATTGACCTTGTAGATAAAAACGGTTTCCGATCAATAACTAAAGAACGCTTAAGCCTAGGAAATTCAAACTTGGTATGATGATTGGTCATGACCAGCAGATGACCCCTATTGATTTTGGGGTCAAGGGGTGAAAGGTCAAGGTCACATTGACCTTATAGGTAAAAACGGTTTCCGATCAATAACTAAAGAACGCTTAGGCCTAGGAACTTCAAACTTGGTATGATGATTGGTCATGACCAGTAGATGACCCCTATTGATTTTTTGGTCAAGGGGTCAATGTCATATTGACCTTGTACTTAATGACGGTTTCTGACCAATAACTCAACAACTCAAGTTGCCTTGGTTGATATTTTTATATTTAACTAAAAATTCTTTGGTATACACATTTGAAGGTCTTATGTAATATAACAATTTGGCTGTCATTAATTAAGCCTACATGATTCATTAAATTGATGCATATATTATTTGATAAGGTTTGTAATAACTTAAATTGCTGTACACAACCTATTAAATCACAATAATTATTACCTTGTGACAAGTCATGACCAGTAGATACTAGATAATCGATATTAATTGTTTTTTCTCATGGTCAGATTAGTCATGCATAATAACCTGATCACATGACTCATTGGCTACCGATAATTTTTACAAACAATTTATTTGGTAACAAATATATAAGCCCAAATTGTTTGGATTTGAGAATCTCTTTTGTCAGCTGTTCAATATGGAGGACAGCATGTTGCAAAAAAATTCAACACAGTTACGAAACAGATGGTGCTTCGTTGAAGCCAAATATTTCTGGTGTAAAACAGCCTGAATCATCATCCTATAAGAAAGAAGCATAAAAAAGTCTGACAAACAGCTTGTGAAAGCATCTGGATCGTCTGTAAAGTCTAAGACTAACGTTTCATGTGATACTGAAGGTAGACATTTTGCAACAAATAAAATTCTTTATGATGAGTATTAAAACTGTCCCCAAGATGCGCATGAGTATGACTCATATGATGATGATCATGGTGATGGTAATTTTTATTCCAGACAGGTATGATTACACATGTATAGGTGAAAATGATGAGGACGATGAAAATTGTCCACGACAGTTTCAACTTTTACCTTAGAAACAGAAGACATTATTTTAGGGTCTTTCTGATAAGTTTATTCTTGCAGACAAGGTTGACACAAAAGTAAATGAAGATCTTGCTGATTTTGTTAACAGATCATCAAGGAACGGTGTTCCTGATGAGACGGTGCACGGAATAATAAAAGGGATTTTGAGACCCCAAAACTGTGCATCTTTGACCAAAAAACAAGAATTAATCCAGGTATGTGGAGATTATTAAAGCCTCAAACTCAAACTGATAATGCTTAGATGCAGTCAATTAAGAATTGTGTAATTAAACCATCCATTTACATTGTCAATCTGTTGCAAAAACAGGGTGAAACTGATACTGAAGTATTCAAATTGGCATCCAATGCCTTACTGGGTCAATCTTTTAAGCTACTAAAAAGAATCCCACAAGATTGATTTTTGATCTAAAATTCGTTCCTCTGACGTCGCTCAGTTTACCATTTACAGATTTCCTGTATGGAAATGAAACTGACATTAACAAATATGTCAAAGACAAACAAGACATGAATTTTATTGATAAAGAAGGTCATGCTCCTTATGGAAGAGGGTACAGATATGTTCCATACCGCAGAGGTGGTCGCTCATTGAGACGTGGTTACAGAGGTAGAGGGTTTAAGCCTTTAGAAACTGCATCATTTTTGAGTGCAGATTATTAAAAAAAAACTCTATGGAGGGGCAGAAGAAATAAAACTGGTAAGTCAAAATTTTGAAGCTGGTAGATTAAGATTTTTTGAAGAAAATAGGAGCAAAATTATTATGAAAATATTTTGGACATTGTGAAACATTGAAACATTGTCATATTGTGTTTTTTAATTCAGAAAATCCTATTCAAACACACAATCTTTCCTCAAAATTTAATGAGAGTGAGGCATTGATTGTAGATAACGAAATTCAAAAGTTACATGAAATGAAAGTTATAAAAAATG